AAAAAATAACTTTCAAAATTGCTGTGAATTTGGCAAACCATTTGCCTTAGTCTTCTCTCAGTTCTGTGGGACAAAAGGGGGTTGATGCAGAATGTGACTTCAGACTACAAGTAAGCAAATTGAGTGTGAGAGAAATTGCTTAGAGTTTAGCAACAAATCTGAAAACAAAATGTTAGAAAGATGCTTTGCAATTACAATCGCTGCTTGCCTTTGTTTTGCATATGCAACTGCTGGGCAGCTTGGGACTGGGTCCTCCAAACATCACACTCTGTCTTTCTTGTATGAACCTTGCCTCGCAGAGAGAAACTGTGGCCAGTGTTTTGCTGGTATATGTTACCAAATCAATTTTGGGTAGCCTCTAAATGTATGCAAAGGATGGTGCCTACTGTTGCTAGTGCACACGTGCAGCCCATCACAAGGCATTCATGGCACACCACGCGCACACTGGGTTTGAAGCTGACAAAATCAACTACACCACTAAAGTTAGAGCGACATTCTCTTACTGAGCGAATCAAGTTTATTGAACATGCACCAAGTCCAGGAGTGCTGAAAGAGCAATACTGTTTATAGCGAAGCCACTGGCTGCCAAAGGCTTACCACGGAAAACCTAGTACCACATATGGCTCTTACATATAATTACAAAGACTGTCAATGGACCTTTTCACTGATGTCAAGCCATATCAACACTTTCGTATCTCATGTACAAAAAAAACCTTCCATAGATCAATTTATTGCACTGAATTTAGAAAATGTATGAAGTTTCATGAATATCAGTTGCAAACTTGCAAAATTATGGACCCCCAAACAAGGCAATTTTTTTTTTAACAAAAAATGTCTGTCAGGGGACAACACTTGCCTGCTGACACTTCTTTGTAAAAATTGCCAAGTTTGGGGTCCCATACTCTCCTGAGTTTGTATGATTAAGAGTGGCGAGGCTTAGTTATTAGTTTGAAATATGAAAGCATTGGAAAAGTGTGACAAAAAGGTCCATGCAGTTATCAGTACATAAAAAGAACTAGTGAGAGTTAATAAGACTTTTAGGCCAGGTAATAATAATTGTATGGTTCTTACTAAGATTTTTCTTTTCATTTTCCACCAGCCAGCTGGGCATTAGAGAGGTTAAGCATGACATTAACGGCAGACGGGAAACGGCAGAGATAACTTCTGATTTTGAGTTCTTTTCTTCTAATCCGTAAATAATGCACACAAAAATGGAATAACGTCCGTTACTATTCATTGTAAATACAAATAATTTCACTCTACTGTACACACAGCTGAAGAGAGACGGCGCAAGTTTCATTTTTGCTGTTTGCCGTTTGCCGTAAACACCATGCTTAACCTCCCTATTAACTCGTGTCACCCTGGTAAAAAAACGGATTTATCCAACCTCTAGCTGTGCAAGATTCGGTTTTGCTGATTTGTTTGAGATATTAAATTTTCTGCATGTTAGGTGAAGGGATAGCTAGCAAACCCAGACATTTTTAAGGCAGCATGAATCCACCTCAAATTGCTGTGTACTTAGAGAAAGGTGTCTTTGGATCCAGCTGAGTTCTGGATGCTAAATCGTCAGTTAGGACACACTCAAATCACTTTATCTAAGGGGGAAAATGTCATGCAACATACGGTAACAATGACAGCCTGGGAAAAGGTAGTATGACTGACTACACAGGATCTGGCCTAGTGGGACAAAATATGACAGTTCAATCACTTTAGTAGGAAGTTAGTAATTTGAGGGTTGGAATATAAACAATAACGGACAGCTTTAAAACTCAGCCTAACTTCCTTTTATCTAATATTGTTAAAAGTAAATAGTTCACATTGGATAACCCTAAAGAAAACAAGTTTCCAAAACTTGAAAAGCAGTGAATAAATAGTGTTTAACATAAAGGAATAACTGATAACTTGACCAAACCAGTTTGATACCTTCTATGAACTCTACAAGGAAACCTTTTCCTAATTCTCGTCATATTCATTTGGTAAAAAACAAAGTGATATACATGTGCATACAGCACTGTATGTAACAAATAGTATGATATAAAAGTCAGCTACAGTGGAACCCCGCTTTACGGTCACCCCCTTAATATGGTCACCTCATTAAATATTAGTCACTTAATTATGTCCCCGCAAAACACCCATACATTCTCTTATAAGAAAACTCAATCAATGGGGCCAAACCTTTAGTACGGTCAGCAGCTACATTTTGAAATACCAACCCGGATAATCCTTTATAATTTTACCCCATTTATATGGCCACTCCAACCAGTAATGTTCAATAAATTGTTCATTTTTCCTTTGTTAATATTGTATGAATTGATTGAAGTTTCAATTTTTCTAAAGTTATATCTGCACTCTGGATGCTAATTATTAAAGTCTTGATATATCTGTTAAGAGTCACTCAATTTAGACCAATCATGAGGATTGATCCGTTAATCCGGTGACCCTGTTGATATGGCCAACTTTTCATGGCCCATTGGTGACTATATTAATGGGGTTCCACTGTATTTACCAAGTCTGACTCAACTTAATCTGTGATGACTTTTTCCCATGAAAGGAGAAAGTTCTATCTTAGTTCTTGTGAATGGTGTGACCAGAAAAGAAGTAACTGGAGAACCTATGGCATTACATTAGAACCACAATGTGGTTTTAAGATCTTGACAAATTATGTGAGTGACTGTCACACAATCTCGGCACTAATCGTGTCACTCAATCATGTAGCAATACGTGTCACACAAGCTCATCACAAATGTCACAATCCTGTCAACTAATGCAACACAACCTTACCACAAAATCACATTGCATTGTCACACAACCTTGCCACAAGTCATGTCACAAACTTATAACAAATCATGTCACACAATCTTGCAACTGATTATGTCAGTCACACAAGGGGTGGTTGCTGCATGGGTGACTGTCCAACTGGTGCTTGACCCAGCGATGGTTGTTGTCCCATAACTGACTGCCCTTGCATTGGAGATGGCTGTTGTTGTGTTGGGTAGGGCATGTGTGATAAGCCTTGTTGCTGAGGTGGCTGTCGGTAAGGATTGTATCTTTGTGTTTGTTGTTGTGAGGGGTAGCCTGCCATCATGCCTCCTGATGGCATTCCTCCTGAGGTAGGTGGCCCATATCCAGGGTGACTGTGTGACAATGACTGCTGTTGTTGAGGCATCTGTGATACAAAAATGGCTGAGTTGGATAGAGATAACAAATATGACAAGAAAACATACAATTGACAACATGTAGGTAGGAAAGCCAGAACAATAAGGAAGTAAATCATCCAAAGAATAATACCTGTCCTGTACAACACCCAAATGAGTCCCAGGAGGGCACAACTTGGGAATAAGCACGTACAGCTGTATTAGTGTGACTGGGAAGTGTAAATGAATTAACCACTACTGAGTCTTTACATACATGTCAGTAGGTACATCAAACCTCATCCAAATAGTATCCAGAACATGTAAATGAAATTGATGCTACAACAATTATTTCACATGAACATTACAACCCTGCGTTAGACCTCTTGGGATCCCCCAAAAACTCCTTAGTAAGTAGCGTACCACATATAGGCAACACAAAGTTTCTAACCAGAAAAAGTCAACGTAAAATCACAAATTTGAAACCCCAAAAGGGCTTTGCACTTGTTACATGTACTGCAGTTATAACTGAGTACCTCACCCTAGGAATCTTATTAATATTTATAATAATTAAAACTAAAAAAACAGTCTTGACTACCAATGTGCAAAAAGAGATCTTCAAATGAGCAAGACAAAGAGTCAATGTACATGTAAATTATGTACTAGATAAGAGAGTTAGTTAAGAGTTAGCCGAAACATCTTGCTAAAATATACAAGTCAGTGACAAAAAAACCGGCACTTTTATCGATTATGTCATTTCCTAACTACATTTACACTGTACTCAAGTTTTAAATGCATATGTACTACAGTTGAGTTGCAATATTAAATCAACTTCCAAACTAATATGATTCTTTCAGTCTTTTCAGCACCTGTGAATTTGCTAGAAGCTGAACTGCTAGCAACTGAACTGATTTTCCTGATTCGTGCTACCTGTCTGCCTTGTAACCTAATGAAATTATAAGGAGAAGTTTGGTATTGAAAATCTACTGACCTGCTGAGGTGCTCCTTGTCTGAACTGCATCTGTCTCTGCTGCATCATGTATTGCTGAGATTGTTGTTGATTCTGCGACATCATGTGTTGGCCCATGGGTGGTGCATGAGACTGAATAGGCACCTGAGGTGGTAAATTCCCCATTGGTCCTGACATTGTGGGCGGCGCAACGGATCGGCCTGGTTGGCTTTGAGAAGGGTTACCTGGGTAGCCCATGTGGCTCTGTGCTGTCATTGGTGGATGCTGCAGTTGTGGAGGTGACGACGTTGACTGTCCCATCCCACCAACTGAGCTAGCACCGTACCCAGCTGTGCTAGGACCACTCATTCCTCCAAGTTGTGGAGGCATGTTGGATTTCAAAGGATCGTTCATTCCAGAAGGCATTCCAGCTGTCAATCCTGGTGCACTTGGCATCATGTCTGTAGATGAGCCTGAGTTTGATGTCATGTCAGGTAGCCCTGGCTGAAGCATGCCAGACCCAGAAGGTGGCGTCACTGATGTTGGAGGTGTCTTCATACTGGGACCACTTTGTGAGCCAGGAGCCTGTTCAAAGAAAGAGCCAGTGATAAGAAGTAAAGTTTTACCATTACAAGTGATATCACAAAGAGATGGTAGACCTATACATCGACATCATCAAAGACCCTTGGTTAGCTCGCCAGATGCTTGACTGACACAGCATGACATGCTAGAGTCAATAAGAGAAGAGAAGACTAACTAAAGACACCAATAGAAGGCACTTCAAGAAAGTGTAGATCAGTATACTATCAATCAGTGACAAAAGTGTTGAGACACTTCACAGTGAAATTCAATTTTTGAGCATCTTAGAAACATCCCCCCCCCCCCAATTTCCCCCCAAATAATGTTGATTTTTCTATTCCTAAGACTGCACAGACTAACAGAACCGGTCCTCCACAAAATTGAATTGGGGGCTGGGGGTATCAGAGAATTAACGCCAGGTGCAAGTGAAATAGAATAAGAGGTTACATGTAAATATTGAAAAGCGTTAGTTTAGATTGTAAAGCATCACTTTATATTTTTGCTAAAAATCAATTGTCACAGTCAATCATGGAGCAGACACCTTACTCAGGCCTGACCATATAGCCAGAGTTTTGTTCTTTCTCTTAATTTGATGTGGCTCCACAAAATGATGTGTTGTAACCAAGCAATTTTTGGTGGAAAGAACAAAAGTACTATTCACAGTCTAGTTACGATCATTCTGCTGAAATGGAAACAAATTATTGCATTACAAATTATTCACATACAGGAATGGTGTTCTGCATGCTTTGGGTGGAATCGGCCAGTGTGGCTAGGTACACTAGATTACGATGCAACAGCTGTTGATATCTGTAAACAAAAGTAAAGGGCATAATGGTCAATGATTAACACCTACATGTACATCAACAACAAAAGATAAAGTTTTAGTGAGATTCAGAGCACCTAGCCACACCACTGAGACTTATTGCTGCTTCCAAAGGACAAACAACTCAGAGATTTGCTTAATCCCCCTGTTTGAGCTGCAAGTCCATCAAAGTTTAGCCCTCTGACATACTACCAGATCACCCTAGCATTTCGCAGGTACCCACTTATACACCTGCATGGAGACAGGCAATGTGATCTAAATGCAATTCAGTGACTAAACAAAGAACTCCACTCAGTGACCCTAGCCAGTTCTGAAACCCAGACTGCCTGATTAAGAGTCAAACATGCATGATAGCCATCAAGGACACTACACACTGATAACAATGCCCAATGCATCGGACAGAACAAAACACAGTAAACAAAAAAACTTGGTTTGGTTAGATTGTGCTCACAGGTCCAAGTCCAACAATGGTTTCTCAACAAATATGTAGCCACTGTGGCTAATCTGGCTCTCCTTACAAGTTTACCCAGAGGCTTTGACTCTTGGGTGCTTATCAAAAAGATCATGGCCTCTGGAAAAATGATTACACTAATTCCCTAAAATTCAGGCTGGGTTGATGTTACATACTGTGTGCATTCATAAGCCTTTCCTTTACTTTGGTAGTCCACAATAGCCTGCAGCAAAGAAGACATAATTTAGTCCAGAGACAATCCAATCATTCTGTACATGTATGAATTCAAAATAAGTTTCTGATCTTTTTCCTCTATCAGGTAGGTAACCCAAAATTACTCAAATGCATGCAGAAGTGCTAGCACAAAAGAAAGAGGGTACAGCAGGTAATGTTTTTTAAATTTAATTTATAATTTGCAGTTTTTTATAGGAAAAGGGCAGACATTTGTCAGAGTTTTCAATCAAATTTCAAATCTGTACAAACTCCCACAGAGCTCCTACATGTACAAACTCTTACAGGGCCAAAGCAAGAACAAAATTATGACTGAGGCAATGCCCATGGTTAAATTCTCCTTCTCTGAGGTATTTAGCAGTGTTTTACTTTTGCCCTTCAAAAAAAAAAAACAATTTAAGTGACAAAAAATAACTGAAGCAAGTGCCTCAGTTTGCCTCATACTGGCTACAGCCCTGTCTTATGGTATGCTTTTGTGGTTTCGGTCACCTTGAATGTTCCAAATAAAACCCCTGGTCTCTGCACCAGGTTATAAAAAAAACCAAGTGAACATTCTACAGTTGTGTGACTATGTTTGACAGAAGCTTTACAGAAACAACTGATGAATTACATAAGGTGCCATATGTACCTGAATAAGCTGGGAATTTTCATCCAGAAGCTGAAAGAAACAAATTATATATACCATTAAACATGCATCTCTTCAGATTATTTCTTTAGACCAATTTACAACACATTGGTCTTGTGCTGTAACTCTAATAGAAATTGAGTACTAGACTTGTGATATCTACATTTGCAGTCCAGGGAAATCCTGCTGTGAAAAGGACTGCTGTAGGTGACTGATGCCACAGCAAGCCGAGTAGAAGCCATGTGGAAACCTTCAGTTGTCAACAAATAGTACTTTTCAGGACTACTCTCGTGCAGACAAGAGTGCACTACACTACATGTGACTAGCAATATTCATTTTGGTTCAAATCATTTACATGTTACCACACCTATTACTACCCTTGATGGCACAAAAATGAACATGGATCAGGGCTGAGTATGTTTGATGGACCCTTGATGTTACAAATGAACTTGCCTATAGTTGCTACAATTCACTCAAAAGGGAAAAAGTTTGTTACAGGTGTGAAGATCAAGGCTACAGGTGACTCAATACTTAATGACAGCCCTGTAGATGATGACATAAATCTATGTTGTATCACATTACATGGGCACAGTACCACAAGATGGCCCCTACTGTATGTAACTCACCATCAGAGTGCAAAGAAAATTAATTTTTGGGCTTGTAACCATAATGTAATAGCCAGAAAGTTATTCCCACTAGCCCCCAGAATTTCATCTCTTACAGTACTTCTGTGATATGAAATTCCTCAAATATTTTCCTCAGAAACTTCATTTGAATGTTCACCAGGCAAGTGAAAGACAGAATCCACTACCCTAGCTATAAAGGCTATCAGACACCAGCCGCTTTCTTTGCCTGCTGACCATACTAATAAAATCAATTATTATGTGTATTTCTGAGGTTTAACAAGTGAGTGGCTCTCCATTTTTTTAAGCTCTAGTCTCAACACAAACATTCTATTGTTAATAATCCCACAGCAGCCTGCCACGATGCCAAGCGCTGATTGGTAGATTTGAAATGGCCTGCATGCCTTGAATTCCTTTGGTCACTGAGTTTGACACCGATCATATTAAGAAAGCTGTATTCCTGATTTCAGCATCAATTTTCTCGGAAAATGTTGAAGGGATGAAGCTATCAAATTCAGCGAAGAGATAGAGAAAAATCTCATCAATCAACAACCACGGCCATTCAGGTGAGATTTTCAGTATTTTGGCATTAATTCCAGTTTGAAGTGGAGGAGGTCGCATCTGGCAGCCGCCATGTTGTAAGCCTTGTCTCCCTCTCTTGTCTTACTGGTCTCCAGCCAAAAGTAATTTCGTAAAAAGATGCCTCAGACAGCCCAGGAAGGCGAAAAAACACCACACGAGTCGATTAACATTTCATTTAACCATATTGAGATGTTCAAACCGAGATGTATATTAGATATGCAATTTACAGAGCTTTATTCATAACCCTCATAGATTCTGTTTGTTTCACATTTATTAAGCTCGAACACATAGAGTGGTCTGCCTGTGGTATTGCTAATTGTTTTCAGGCTTTTGAAACCATTTTGTCAATCGGGTACATTACTCTATCCCTGTTTATTTTACAGCAAACTTTTTGTTTTAACAAACTGTCGGTAGCTTGTTGGTAACCTGTCGGCTGACGGCTTACCGACAGTCGGTTTCGGGAGCTATTCTTCACAATTACCCAAGTTTAATTCAGAGATTCCAACCCTCCCGATTTGATCAGGAGACTCCCAATCTGATGTGTTGCCTCCCGCTCTTATCAAATTCTCCCGATTTATAATAAAATTGTGAAAACAAGGGAAAAAATGCTAATCTTAAGTATTTTTTTTGCGATGTATTACACTTTCTTCTCATATCATCTCACCCAGTCTCTTGCCACGTGTTGTGCAGACTCATCAGGCCAGCAGTCTTACTCCATTTAGCAGCTCCAAAATGCAGGAAAAGGCATTTAAGAAAACCTAAATTTGCAAAATTTCCCGGTGAGCATGGCCCCGCACCCCCCTTGAGGCTGCCGCCTCCAGTGCTAAAAGAGTCTCCCTATTTTCCTTCAAAAGGGGTTGGAATCTCTGTTAATTTCCAACAACAATTCAGTCCGTGCGCGATTTTGTTTAGGCGTGGAGTTATAAATACTGCTTAATATGTAGCGAAATAATTGGAAATTGAAATTTAGTAAGAACTGTCTAACAATTAGATTATTCGCTATCGATTTCTATGAGGTAAATCAGGAAATCTCGAGCTAATAATCTAAGTTTAGGTCTATTTTTATTAGGAGCGAGCGGAGTTACAGAGTATATAAATACTTTTGTAAGCCCAAGAGCTTACTTTAGGAAGGCTTATCCTTGAAAGGATTTTTACAACTAAGATTTGAGGGACTGATTTCCAGGTGGGTTTAATCCCTTGTCAAGAATAAAAGCTAACAGAATGAAGTTGAAATGAATTTGAATAGGGAATCATCCGTCGTCGATGAACCAATGTCAAAAATTGTTAGATTCAGCCCCAAAACTAAAGCAAACTACACAGTTTTACCACTTACCGATTGAACTGTTTGTTGACTTGGTTCTGGACGCTGCCGTCCAGACACAAATGTCATCGACATGTTTTCGTCTTTCTGTTTTCTGACAGTGGAATGGTCTTCCTCGACTACCAAGAACACTACTTTGTTTAACTGTACGCAGGTGTCTCAATCCTTATTACGACTCTATGTAAGCTGACTTGAAAAATACCTCACTTCACGCGACGCCAAACACAATATGGAATGAAGGGAATCGAAATGAACAGGTAAAAAAGGTTTCCCCGAATCATGAACCCCCCCCCCCCCTTAAGGTTTACAACGAACAAAAGCAACAATCAAGCCTCACCGGCTTCCCGGGGGAACTTTCATATGAAAAGGACGGGGGTGCTCGTGGTACCTTTTAGGCGTTAAACAAGCGGTTTTCCAACCTCTTAGGGTGTTCAACCTGAAAAGTTCCACAGCGGAAGCTTTTACGGTACCTTTTACCGTATTGAGCCGACAAAATATGGCAGGAGATGAAGTGCTGTTTTACAATTGGTACCTCTTAGGCCGAAAAATTTCAAGGGACGCCCACAAAGCAGGATCTTGGCACCTCTTATTTGGGGTTCTTTTCAAAATTCCGACGAATACCCCCGTCCGTTTTTATATGGGAGTCACCCCCCTCCCCGAGACTGTCATCTGGTTTACGGTGCTGCGAAAATGAGCAAGACTTTTGTAAGAAAACGTTAAAAAAGGGCAGTTTTTCCCTGGAAATATTGCGAGTGATATCAATATTCCTCCCACGGGCTTTCGGCCCCCAAAACAAAACCTGGTCTAGCCTGGAAGTAGGCTCAAATGGGTAAGCATTCCATCATGGAATCCCTGTGTCAAGACGAGGAATATCCGGGGGGACTCCCATATAAAAAGGACGGGGATGCTCGTCGGACATTTTGAAAAGAACCCTTAAGAGTTACCAAGATCTCGTTTTATGAGCTTGGCTCCTAAAAGGTACGCCGAGCACTCCGTCTTTTTCATATGAGAGTTCAACCTGGGAATATGAAAGTTACAATTTCGGCAACGGAGGCCCTCTAGATGTCTCCAAACAGAACACACACGAAATAAATCATCGTGTAATTTGGACGCGGAATCGATTATTGCCCGAACAGGGTAACCAGTAGGCTCGATTTCCGCCGCTCTCTCGTGTCTGGTCTACGTTCCTTTCCCGAACAGCGGCTGGTAATCGAGCCTAGGTAACCAGGAAAATCACGTTTATTACGTACACGGTCATCATTTCCGGGTTATGGAGAAAGGAAATTGAAGGTGCCAACAACTACAGCCAAATCTGTACTTTGTATGGACGCTTCTGTACAATAGGCAGTTCACGTGATCCCAGAGAAACCTGAGGGGATAAATGATTTTTGGAAACAACCGTAATCCAAGGCTTTTTTCCAAAATCAGCAAACCAAACGAAATATCACTGAATAGCTATAAAGGCTAACTATGGCATGAATCATTTTACAGTACAATGAATCAATTTTTTTTGCAATCCCAAATGGGAATCTGCTTCATAAAAATTAGCGCGTTTAGCGGGGCTTGCTACTTTTTAATGTGAAAACATAGGAAAATTAAGCTAGAATGCCGGATCAAGGTATACCAGGGACAGTATAAAACACTAGCCATTTGACAAAGCTTGTTGATATTTCACCACTTTTTTGACATCGCTTTGATAGCTTTCGTTTCAAATGGCTAATCAAAATAGAAGAATTACGAAAGGCAAGAAATTTGCTTTCTCCTGGGGCTTCCTCCATTATCACAGGAGAAGCTTTGTGACTTTGTGACTTTGTGACTTTGTGAGTAAAAGGATCTACAGCCTGATTACGTCGATTACTGGGAGTGTACTACACTTTGGCGAACAGCTGATTGACACACCACAGAGTCTCCATGACACATAACGCTAGGTAAGTTTTTATTAGTTTGGAATGAGGACTTCAATCCAGTCATCAGTTAACTGATCTCCAGAGCTAATCATAAGTATACTAACAGCTTTAAAAATG